AAAAAAAAAAACAACGGTGCCCCAGTTCAGGTGGGACCTGCCTCTGGCAGGGAAGCCTGCTGCTTCACAGAGTCTTTGTGAAGACGAAAGTTAGAGTAAGCAAACGACACAGCGCAAACTTAGCACACGTAGGGCAAAGAAGCATCTGGTTTGCCTGGGACCGGGAGAGGTTTTTGGACTGAGGGACAGTTAGTGCTCAGAACAGGAGGTCTTGGGTAAGCTGGGATGGCTTGGTTACTTTAGCTACACACCATGGCCTCCAGGAGTGGGTGTTGTCATGATCTCTGTGGTGGTGGTGATCATTCTGACATAAACAATTATTTGGTTTCATGACCTGAAACTCCATTAAACATCCCACTCCATCCATATCTGTCTTTATTTTTTTTTAATTTTTTAAATGCTCATTTGTTTTTGAGAGAGAAAGAGAGACAGAGCATGAGCAGGGGAGGGGCAGAGAGAGACGGGGACACAGAATCCGAAGCAGGCTCCAGGCTCTGAGCTATCAGCACAGAGCCCAGCACAGGACTTGAACCCATGAACCATGAGATCATGACCTGAGCTGAAGTCCGATGCTTAACCGACTGAGCCACCCAGGCGCCCCCATAATGTCTTTAATTTTTAGTGGAGGCACACTCTTTTCATTTTAAAGCATACATTTAAAACATAATTACACCAAAAACATCACTTTAAAAAGAGTGGTTTCTTTGCAAAATAAGAATACCATCTTCCATGTGACTAATGTTTTGACCTGTTCATCCTACTTCATTTATGCTCATCATAACTCCACAAAAGAGGTATTAGGCCACACAAACTTCTTTGAGAAAGAGACGATACAGAGGATAATGCTCATACTCATTTAATCTGTATAGCAACCCTATGTAGCAGGCATTATTATTACTGTTTTATAGATATTGAAACTGAGGTTCAGAGAGTTTAAGTGACCTATCCAAAGTCACACAGCTAGTGAAATTAGAGGTAGGACTCAAATTGCTTTCTACCCCTTATGTGTATGGTACATTCTCATTTTACAGAGGACTGCAGCTAAAGACTTGCACCTAGATCCCAACTGGATCTTTCTCTGCAAGGCTGTGATTTGGAACAGTTGATTTATTTTCTCTAAATGTCATTTTCTCACTTATAAAACAATGATCATCACCTGACATACTGATACTGTGGTGTTATTATAAGAAATAAAACTGGGGGCGCCTGGGTGGCGTAGTCGGTTAGGCGTCCGACTTCAGCCAGGTCACGATCTCGCACTCCGTGAGTTCGAGCCCCGCGTCGGGCTCTGGGCTGATGGCTCAGAGCCTGGAGCCTGTTTCCGATTCTGTGTCTCCCTCTCTCTGTGCCCCTCCCCCGTTCATGCTCTGTCTCTCTCTGTCCCAAAAATAAATAAAAACGTTGAAAAAAAAAATTTAAAAAAAAAAAATAAATAAAAAAAAAAAGAAATAAAACTGGGGAGCCTGGGTCGCTCGATTGGTTCAGCATCCGACTCTTGATTTCAGCTCAGGTCATGATCCAAGAGTCATGGGATTGAGCCCCGTGTTGGGCTCCCTACTGAGCATGGAGCCTGCTTGAGATTTGCTCTCTCTTTCTCTCTCTTTCTCTGCCCTTCTTGAGCTCTCTCTCTCTCTCTCTCTAAAAAAAATAGGAAAGAAAGAAAGAAAGAAATTTGAGCGCTGAATATTTTTTAAAAAACGAATATTTATAATGTGTATATGTAGTGGATAATGAATTCTATTATTATTGTTATTATTACTGTTAAGAATTCAGGCCTTGTGGATGTTCCAGAAAATCTACTTCTGTGGTCGTTCATGGCCCATTCCAAAAGTCCACATTCTCCGGACTTTTAGGAAGGGTACCTTGTGAATAATCAGAAAGGCTCATACTGTTTTCTCTCATCCTCTGCTGGCAAGTGGTGATGTTTGTAATGAGACTGATGAGACTGTTATTGTCAGAACACTCCAGATGATGTCTGTATCCTCTGCTAGCTGAAACTCCATAATATACCCATGAGTTCCTAGAATAGACATCTCTGGGCCTAAGACTGTTCCAGATGTACCGCTAGTGAAACACCCTCACTGTTCATTTCTTAGAGTTTTGAATGGTGAAACACTTTAAATCTAATTGTAGCTCATAATAAAAATTTCTCTTCTAGTGACTTATTTTGGTAACTGTTTTCAATGAAAATTTTGATGAGCAGATTTTTTTTTCTTATAACGGATTCCAAGAAAGCTGAGTCAATCACCCACAAAATTTCTCTGAATTATTTGTAGTAGGTCAAACAGGAAATAGCCTCTTTTAAGAAAGTCCTTATTTGATCACTGCTTTGCATTTCACTCACCTTAAACTAAATGATCTTTTCCTGTGAAGTGAAGAGACTTTCTGTTCCCTACATTTGTTTGTTTGTTTGTTTATTTGTTTATTTTAATATGAAATTTATTGTCAAATTGGTTTCCATACAACACCCAGCGCTCATCCCAACAGGTGCCCTCCTCAGTGCCCATCACCCACCCTCTCCTCCCTCCCACCCCCCATCATTTAAAATGCACATGTG